CCCGCTGGGGAAGAACCAAGGCCGCCGGAGGAGCCCCCATCCACAGAGGCTACCCCTGCTGAGGAGGCCGCTGCCCCAGCTGAGGACACGCCACCCGCAGCAGAGAATGAGGCCAAGGCAGAGTGACTGCAGCACGCCACGGCACCTGAACTGATTTTCCGAGATTAAAGTATATAAATATAAATATATATATGAGACTCATGCCACGTTCTTGAAGTAAAAACTCCAAAAGAAAACAAAGGATATCACATTTGCTGATTCAAACACCAGTTCACTGCCTTTTATTAGTTTTTCGACAGACGGAATCTCACCGGGCCCTCTCATGACGAAAGCGTCGGCTTGTGTTGCTCCCTCATGGTACACACAGGGACTGGCGTGTGGTGAAGGTAATGGATTGGATGTGAAGCGAATCAGGAATACTGACTTATTTTCCCAGTTCACGGAGAAGCATCCTTTTAAACAGCGTGGCAGCCCTATAACATTTAACTTTTCTTTCTCATCTTTTTGGGATCTACAAATGGTCATGGTCGCAGGGTGGAGCAGACCATCTCCTTCACTCAGTGACTGTTACATGGACACAGCCTTTCAAGTCTTACTCATTTTTAGAATTCTACATTCCTACATTTTACCCCCAGATATATCAAGTATTTTGTCATGTATAAACAAGTGAAAATTGAGATGGGGATGTTGAGAAAGAACTGTCTTCGTGCATTTTGATTCTTTTTCTGGCTAAAACCACATTCGAGCTTGGGTATTGCAGTGTTCACATTTCTAAGTAAATGATGCGGGGTTTGGGATTGTGTACAAAATGTGAGCTTTTTATCTGCAAACTGTCTCTGTAAATATGTTTTGGCCACTGTTTTTGGTTCTCTTCATTTTGCTATTGTTTGAAGATGTTAATGGTTTTACTGTAACTTTTAATAAGGGTAAATAAATGTTTGATCCCCTCTGTCTGTGTTCTGCCTTGTGATTCACAACATAAACACACTGGGACTAGACTGGAAACTATTTTGAGCTGTAGTTTTCAAGATGCATACACAAGAACAGTCAGTTAAACAAATTAAGCAATTCACACGTAACTAAATAAAAAATGATGGAGTCACCCATGGTTTAGATTAAAATATAGGTTTAAAATAATTGTCCCATCATTAACTTACCTAGATTATTAAAGTGACACAAGATATTGCTTTTCACTACACATTACCAGTGTACATTACAAATAAACCTTTCAGCTCTTGAATCCAAATGACTTGTGGAGGAGTATTTACAGGGAAAGCAAGACAACAATAGGCCCTCTTACACAATTATAAATGAAATATGTTATTATATTTGATATGTTATTAGATCTTTGATTAATGGGCACATAACAATAGAACAGAAAATAAAATAAACAGTGGACATCCCGCTATAAATACAAAATGCAAAAAATTCAATAGGAAATGTCGGACGCATAGAATACAATAATATACATAATTCAAACCCTTAATACAGGGGTGCCCACACTTTGTCGCCTTGTGAGCTACTTTTCAAATGACCAAGTCAAAATGATCTACCTACACTAAAAATACTATATACTGTATGTGTATGTATGTATGTATGTATATATATATAAATAATATGCGTGTACATATCCCCATGCAAGGCAACAGCAAGGGGCAAGTAAACAGTAAGCCAACATAAATCAAGTGGCAACTGCCATAGGGAAGTTGGATGATAGGCTAACATCTAATTTATTTTTGAATGGCAAGCAAGCTACCAACACTACCTTTGCGATCGAAGTACTGGGCACCCCTGCCCTAATAAATTCCTTGCCAGATTTTTGCATACATCATGGTAGTTTTTTGGTCTTTGGCTCCCTCTGGTGGACAGAACTAGCCTATGTATTAATTGTCCATCCAACCATTATCTATAGCGCTTATTCCTGACAAGGGTCCCAGTGGGGCGCTGGAGCCAATCCCAGCTAACATTGGGCGAGAGGTGGGGTACATCCTGGACAGGTTGCTAGTCTCTTGCTGGGCTGACACTTAGACAACCACACACAATAACACTCACTCCTAGGGGCAGTTTAGTCACCAATCAACCTAAGCTGTATGTCTTTGGACTGTAGGAGGAATCTGGAGTACCCGGAGAGAACCTACAGAGGCACAGGGAGAACATGCAAACTCCGCACAGAAAGTCCCCAGGTCAGCCGGGGCTCTAACCTGAAACCTTCATGCTGTGAGGCAACAGCGCTAATCGCTGCCCCATCATACCGCCCAGGCAAAATATATGCTGTGAAAAAAATACACATTTTTGACGTACCATGGTATTTAAAAACTCTGCCAAACTTTGTATTAAAACAATCTAAACCTGGTTATTAACATCAGTGTGGTTGTCACCGATATCATTGGTATCACAATTCTTATGACAATACTATATACCTGTGGAGATATACAGTCATGGGCAAAAATATTGGTACCCTTGCATGTCAGATAATGCACTACTTCTCTCAGAATATTATTATGATCACAAATTCTTTGGTATTCTCATGTTTATTTCTTTTGTTTGCATTAGAAAAAAAAAAGAAAACGCAGAGAAAAAAATCCAAATCTGATACATTCCACACAAAGCTCCAAAAATGTTAATAATATAAAATAAGACATTATATACATAAGAAATTCCAGTTTTTCCCCCTGCTGCTTTTAGAATACTGTCTTCTACACATGAACATCTTTTGAAATAAAAATATTTGCGGGACAACAACTCAATTAAATAAATGTAAATTAAACAGCAATTTAAAAGGAAAGTAAGTAGTAGCTTTCTTTTTTTAATTGAATATAGTAAATACTATAGTAGGTTCCCTCTGATGTGCTGTTCACCTGACCTCTTCCTTCTGCACTAGCTCTCCCTTAGCAGCAGTGTCATGGCTGCTGCTCTCTTCCTACATGTGTCTCTTCTCTGTTGCTGCTTCAGCAGCACTGGTTGAAGCCAGTAAATATTCAAAAGGAATCAACTGGATCACTAATCACACTGATCGAACTGATCAGCTTTCTCACGTGTTTTATATATAGAGTGTTGACCTCGGCAACAGCTGCATTCTAACGTTAGCTTAGCTAGTCTTACTAGCTTCTAATAATACGTTAGAAGAGTTGGAGCTCCACGATTGACAGCATTGAATTAAAAAACAACCATGGAAAGGAGGAGCTGTTTACAGACAGTCTGTCATCATGTGCACGGAGCAACAGAGCAAATACATGTGCTACTCACAGCACTACATTGAAACAAAATTTAACATATTTTAAATCAATGTGTGGCAGTCAATGTTGATATTGTGGCAGCCCACCATAAATAACTCAATGTATGGGAAAAACTGTGGCGTGTGTAATGAAATTATTTTTCTTATTCATGGCATTTCAAGAAGTCTTTTGTGATGTGTTTATTGCATATGTACATATTGCAATGACGATGAAAATGTATTGAATTTTTCAAAATTTATTGATCAGCCCTATTACCCATGTATTTTATTAATGTGATGTTTACATGATGTTGTTATGCTTTATTTGCTTTAAAATTCTTTGTGTTTGTTGCTCTTGCTCATCGTTTTCTTTGGTTTTATTTTACGGCGATGCACGTTGTAACTTGGGTTTGGAAAGATGGTATATAAATAAAATTTGCTTTGCTTTGCTTCATTCAAGAAAAGTTACAAAATTGTCTGTGTATGCTGTCATTTACAGTTCTCAGAAAGAAAGAAAACTGGAATCTGCCAAAATTGGAATCAGTAGGCCAGACTTGGAAAAAAAAATCTGAAATCTGCCAATTTCCAGTCAGTGCATCTCTACCATGGAGATAATGATTGGTACATGTATTTATTATTAATAATTGTAATACTGAAAAAAAATTCAAATTAGCCATGCACTGATAAATGCCTCTTTTCTAAAATTTGAACCCCTGCCCCTGAGAAGCTCTTTGCATGCCCCTGTTGTTGGTGATCTTTCCAGTGGAGGATCAGGAATAGTGGATGTTCCATTGGGTCACAAGTTCACAATGCACAGGAGCAGCCTTGTTATTATTTTCAGCTGACAGTTTTATTATTAGGTAACTTGTGTTCCTGTTGGGTGGATACCGATCAGAAACAAACTCTGGGTCCTACAGTGGTGTACTTATGCTATTTTCTTTGGTCTTCTCCCTCCTGCTTAAACTCAGCTGGCTGCCTTTCGTTGTTGGATCTGTCCTACAACCCATACCGTTGGTGAGCTCAAACTGATCAGAGCGCTGGAGGTTCTCTTGTTGGATCCTTGACAATTTGGCAACGCGCTTGCCGATGAGATAAATCATTTCACAGATGCACATGAAGATGCACAGTGCGCTGGATACTACCATGAACAACATGAAGATTTTCTTCTCAGTTGGACGACTAATGAAGCAGTCAACAGTGTTGGGGCATGGGTCCAGTGAACACTTGGATAACCTACAAAAGAGTAGAGCAGATTATAGCAAAAGCAGAACATCACAGTTTTAATTTGTAATGTGATAGGTTACCAGCACTACCTGGGCAGGTCATATCCATTGTATATCCGATGCAGAATGTAGAGAAATGATGTGTCTAATCCAGCTTTGAAGATCAAACTAAGCAGATAGGTCCACCATAGCCCACCTCTCTTCTTGCCAGGGTCAGCATACAGATGAGAGCCTTGATGTAGCTCCACATATTTTTTGTCCTTCCCTTCACGATATTTAACATGAGCTATCACCATGAGGGATGGGCAAGTAACGAAGATCAGCTGCAGCGCCCACAGTCGGATGTGGGAGATGGGGAAGATGTGGTCATAGCAGACATTGGTGCAGCCAGGCTGCAAACAAAGTAAAATAGATACAAAATAATTTCACAATTAATTTTTGAATAAAGATTGTAATACTGTATGGATAAAACAAATAAAAGCATACAGTAGGTTGTTAAGTTCATGCCAGAAAGAAGGACCAGTATAAAAACAAACTAAAACTAGAATTAGTGCTTTGCAGTTGTATGCCTCTGCCAACCAGTCAGTGGGACAGATGTGAGGTCACTGACCAAATTTGAAGAAATTCCCACACTCAAAAAACATGCAGGTTAGGTTGATTGGTGACTCTAAATTAGACTTGATCCGGAAGGCCATCCGGCATAAAACATGTCAAGTTTAGCAATCATCAGTTGGGTGCCAACTGATGATTTGCTGTGGCAACCCCTAACAGGAGCAGCCGAAAGTAGAAGAAGAAGAAGACAGTTGGTTAAGTCCATAAACAGTTAGGACAGTCCTTTAAAATATTGGGTTTTATCATTAAAAGTAGGAAACGCTACCAAAGAGTAAAACACCATTTGAAAGTTCAGGAGTGTTAGCACAGATATTACCTGTTGGGTGTTACAAACAAAGTCTTTGGTGTCTTCACCCCAGACCCTCTGGGCTGCCACGACAAACACCAGCACGCGGAAAATAAACACCATGGACAACCAAATCCTCCCGAACGCAGTGGAGTATTTATTTACTCCACTCAAAAGACTCTCCAGTCCTGACCAATTCATCCCTGATGCTGTACTGGCCTGGACACAAGTGCACACTGTAAAAGACAGGTAATAAAAAAATTAAATAAAATAAAGAGTGTGTTATGTTTCCACATCCGTATGAAATGATTGAAACAGATCATAGCCAAATTATAGGTGTTTAGATATAATGTTTTACTCTCCATCAAAAGGTCCAGATAACGCTTACAATGTTAAAGATTAGCCAAACGTTGCCCAATCCAAAATGCCAGTATATAGTTACATCAGACCCACTTGTATAAAAATGTTCATACAAACTAAATTAAGAATCCCCCAAGAGAAAGAGTTGACATTTTGAAACATAGTTTAATTCTTTGTCACTAGAATGTATCGTTCCAAACAGCTAATTACAGTAAATGCAAAGCTTATATTGATTTGGTTCAGTGTTTCAGAAAATGTTCAGGCTTATGAATGTCACCAGGCTCTTCACTAATGAAACAACATGCTTCAATAACCTTAACAAGAGGTACACAGGCCAAAAAAGATAAAGTCATGTCATGTTCAGGGTGGAAAATGGGTATATGTCAGGTGACTGCAGCAGCAGATGGGGAAATAAATTTTTATATTTATGCTGGCACATGAAAATGTGCAAAAGATAGTGCTAGTGTTTTTAGACCAACTATGACCAACCAACATTTTTGAGTTAATTCAGTGGGTAAACACTGAAGGGTGAGAAACTTTGAGGTGCATTAGGTAAGATATGTGACTCTGTCCAGAGGTACAGTAACAAAATGTATGTAGCGGCACCCGTTTGTTTGTTAGTTAGTTCATTTAATTAGATCCCTATTAGCTACTGTATCCAGTAGCTATTCTTCCTGGTGTCCTTTATGCAAATCTACTTACATGTGACAACACTGATTATCTTCTCTACAATACAAAACAAATATACATACATGACATAGTACACTATACTCTATTACCTACCCTACTATATTCGACACACCCTGAACATTACACTAATATATTACACCCATAATACACAATAATATTTACACTTAAAGATCACTAAGATAAACACAGAGCTCCAAAAACAGATTTAAGTACTCATATTTTAAAAGAAAATTTCTTTCCAAAGAGGCACATTTCCAAAAATAAAAAATCCTGTTTCTACACTCACTGTTTTTTCTTAAATAATAACAACATTAGATCTCATTGCATAGTTTAAAGCCACCTGAGCTGTTCTGTTTTGTATTTCTTGTAATTTCTTTGTTTCCCACTGTGGCATTTGACCAGATTGCTGGACAGTAGATGTGTTAAAACCAAAGATTGTATTACTAGTCTAATTGTATTGTTTGTCAGATATTTAGAATACTTCTTTATTATGTCAGTGCCAGTGTCAGTTTATTTATAAAGCACATTTAAAAATAACAAAATAATTAAGACATCATAAGAAAACAGAGAAGAAATCTTTTTTAAAAACCTGAAAAAATAAGCAGGGGTCAATGACTGACCAAAGTAGATCAAATGGTAGTGAATAAAAGTACAGTAGTAAGGACTTTTAAAAAAGCAAGAGAGGGGACTGGTCTAATATGTAGAGGCAGATCGTTGCAGAGTCTGGGCTTCATAATAGAGAGAACACAATTGCCTCTGCATTATTTTCTCGAGTCTGCCAGACTGTTTCCCATTCTAGTTACCATCTTATCTATTTGTTTAGCCCATGTTAGCCTGCTATCCAAAATGATAACTAATAACTTTCTCTCCTCTGCTTGATTAATTGGAACACCATTAATACAGAAATCAAGAGTTAGCTTTAAACTTAATGACTTATTAGTTCCAAAGTTAATACTACTTGTTTTAGACACATTTAGAACTAATTTATTACAATTTATCCACCTCAATACTGATAATAATTCTCACTTGTAACAGAATTATTATCAACTCATGACCTGTCATTGTTGATGTATATATTGTTGAATCATCTGCAAATATTGCAATTGTTATGGTAGCCCCCCTCACCAGGAGGGTGAGGGAGGACTGAGGTTAGACTCAAGTCTGCAGACCCAGGTGCTAGGGGGAAAAACATGATGGTTGCAGGTAAAAGAACACAAAGTATCAAAAGAACATAACTAAGTCCAGGTACATAAAAGTCCGGGTAGAGTAAAGATGGTGGAGGGAATCAAAACAGGTGAACCATGGGACTGACGGCAAAAACCAAAGGGCAGGAAGACGAAGACGGACAGGTGACAGAACAAAAAGACCAGTGTACCCGATGTAATCCACAGCACAGGAACTGTCAGCGTGGAAAACAAAGGCACGTATATAGGTTGTTGCTAACCGCATAAGTGGTGTGATAGAGTCAAGCCAAAACGCACAGAAACTGTCAGCGTGGCATTCTATCCACACATACATGACACGGTACTTGGTTAATGTTCCGGAGACGACGAAGTGTCTGCCAGAGGTATAAATAACAATCAGCGGGATGCACCCCAGCTGTGTGCACCGACAAACAAATCACTAATTATGAATGCAACACAGCTGAGGTGCGAATCCCGCAGGTCGAGAGAACAGAGGCGAGAAAAAGGCGAAGGAGAGGCAGCGGCCACTGAGCAGCCCTGACAGCAATGTGATATTCCTTCAAAACTAATGGCAAATCATTTGTAAAATTTTATACGACAGTGGGCCCAGGCAACTTCCTTGTGTTACTCTACATTTGAATCATTTCATGTTAGAATAACTTTCATTAAAATAAACAGCTTGCATCCTATTATTTAATTATTATTATTATTATCATTTAACTGTTTACCTGAAGTAATGCCAATTAGCCAAGTCTGTAATACTCTAATATTAGCCAGGTTTGTAATACTCTAATTTTTTAAGCAATATTTTATGATCTAAAATATCAAATACTGCAGTCAAGTCCAAAAGTACTGCTCCTACAATGTTTTTATTTCCTATAGCTTTTAACTAGTGATCTGTCATCTGGGTCAGTCCAGAAGCTGTGGAATGTTTCTCTTTTTATGCATGTTGGGAAACAATGCTTAAATTATTCTTCAAAATAAGACTGAATTTGTTTTCTCCCTGCTAGTTTACTCAAAGCTGTTAATAAACTAATGGGTTAACATCTTGGTCCTGAAAAAGATAATTTCCTGTTTTTAGGTATTGACACTATTCTAGCAATTTTCCATTAATGTCAACATCTAAACTATGGTTTATAATACAATATGTGCAACAGGAGAAGCTACAATATATAATGTGCTGCAAGCTTTATAAGTTTTCCATCAATACCATGCACCTCTGGTGATCCATCATTACAGGTTATTAACATATATTCAATTTTAACTACATTAACTTTACTAAATTCAAACTTGTTGCCTTTACTCTCCATTAATATCTTAATGAATATGAGATTTTTGTTATTAAAAATTGTTCTGATGATTAGCCATATCCTTTGGTTTAATGAAATCTCCCAATTCACTTTCTTTCCTCACTCCACCTTCATCTAAGGTACTTGGCAGTTGGTAGGGCAGGGATGGTTGAAAAACAAGTATGACATCAGCACTCGAGGACAGGCTTTGCCAGATCATGTCTTGACAAGGAGTCTCCACTCTTTTCCTGGCAAGAAGTTGTCCCTCTCCACCACATAACAATTTTACGCCTGAGGTTTTAGCTAACTGTGTTCTTGTTTTTCCAGTATTTTTTGTTTTTTTGTTTGTTTTTGCTAAGTTAAGCTTAAAGGCTGCTATCTCCATGTACTTCTCCAGCCACACATTTACTGCATAGACATGACAGTGGTACCAGTCTACTCATCTAACTAACTCATCTAATGCTTTTTTATTAAATGATGTGCAATTAAAACTGTATAAATTTGAAAGGAATTTTATGGCCTAATGCGACACTTTATTATAACGTGTTTAGCCACTGTCCAAATACATAATGATAAAGTGAACACACTAACCTTTAAACATTGTTATAGTATGTGTGTATTTGTCAACTACTGTTGAACTAGAACATGGTCACTGCAATTCTCATGTGAAATCATTATGATGCCAGTGGCAATTACTTTATGTGTAGAATTAATGTAAACACTCACTCCTCTGTATTGATTGTGAGACTTTGCTATAATTTCCACAAAAACATCAAAGTTTGCCACTACCGCCTGCTGATTTATTTATCTATTTACTTGTTATAGGAAACAATGTGTATATTGGAAATGTAGCCTAAATTCTTTATATACAGTCTCTGATTTAAAACACAGTTCATTGTAATATGCTTGGATGGAAGGGTTAATCACTGGCTACATTCACAGAGCGTTAAAGCTGAGCCCAGCTTTTTTTTTTTAAATTAGTCAGTCTTTGTTTATCTATGTGCAACATCCTGGGCCGTGTTAACTCTGTCCACACAGCCGCTGTGTGTATTAACATTAAGCACTGCTGCTGTTGAATGAATCCTTTGGAAATTGCCATATGAACAAAATTATGTGCATGAACATAACATGAACAGCCAAATGTCACGAGTCCAGTATAAATATAACTTCAATCCCAAACCTCCTACCACATGTATGGTTTCAGAGTTTCTGTTGCCTAGATACTGGGTTTTGTGTGTGTGTTTGGCAAATATCTTTCTTGCAACAAAATCCAGTGTACACAGTCAGGCCATAGTTTTCTCTTGAACTCTTATGTTTTCCATGGGCACATGGGGCTAACAGTGAAATCTTCTTCTTCCTCTACTGTAATAGATATATTTTTCAGTTCAGTTGGTATAAAACACAACAGATGTTCATTCACTTAAAAGTGTATGTAATTACCTACAGTATTTCACCATTTGTACTGTATGTTCCAATTTGTTGTAGTCAAATGTTAGCTCTATATTTACACTAAACCCTTTACTGAGCTAATTCTTTTGTAATGTGACAGAAGTTTGTAACAGAAGCCATCACTTCCTTAATTCTTACCTCTCACCACGTGACTGGAAAACAAGACAAACTGAAACCATATGGGATGTGTAATACCATCCTCTGGCCTGTACAGTTTATATAGCAATGAAGGGCAACTCACTTTTTAGAAAGGAGTAAAATATTTAGATTTCAGATAACAAGAGTGATTCGGCACTGAGGATTTCTCTGCATTAACACTTTAAATTCCATTGCTACTTAGGTTTTCTCTTTTAACATCAATGACCTTGTGACATTGACCTTTTCATAATCTACATGGTTTGTTTTTAATATCATTCAGCCAGTGTTTCAAAATATCAAATACTGCTATAAAATAAATGTATGAACAGTGCAGATTACTGTGTTCTTAGGCTGAAGTAAACTAAGCATAGGAGGACAGGATTAACAAAAATGATCAATGCAGGCAGCAGGCTTGAGGCTAGCATTCTGGTGTTAATAAGCAAGCTAACATAAGGACATATTAGAAGTCTGACTGGTTCGTTGGAAGGAATACCAAGACAGGGTGGATTCTCATGCAGCACAAAAGGTAGCAGAAGTTTGACTGGTTATTTGGTGAGCTATCTGAAATGTTTGGTGCCTGGTACAGCAGTTGAAATGTTGGCTAGTGTGAGGGACTAGAAACTACACAGAACTTGTATTGGTGTTGGTGATAGTATAGTTACAGACTCATTGGAATTGGTAGGACAGTGTCAGTGGCTGGGCAGACCCAGCTCTCAGAGGTGTCTGCCATTACAAGCCAGTCGGGCCAGCCACTGCTAAACCTGAGTAAATACAATGCAGATGCTGTGTTTCAAGCCACATATCTGCTCTTTGCTTGGGTGAGGATAGGGTTCAGGACGCTTTGTGGCAAGGGTAGGTTAGGTCTGAAAAGTGATGTTGCTTATGGTGGGGCTCTGAAAATTTGTCACGGCATGGCCTGACACCCCCCTGCTTTGGGGCCAAATGATGGGTAAACATCATCTAACTCACATACTGAGCTTCCATATAAACGCTCTCCCATTCATTGGCACATTCAACTGTGTATTATCAACTGTGTATTGTGAAGGACCACTGCAAAATGAAACTGTGGATATCATTATGTTACTAGCAGCCACCCAGTTGAACAACAAACTGTAAAATTTTGAAACATAATAGTTCATTAATTTAACCAAATACATACTATTTGCTACAAAATAAAAGTTGTTTATATACATCGAGTATCAGTATGGAATGTTTTAACTTTATAATGGACTACACTCTGTGTTGAGCCTACCACACCTTATAGTTTACACCACATTTTGCTTTTTGTAATTGTTTCTCTATACTGAAACTCTTCCCACACATAGAACTGTGTGGAAGTCGTTACAAAAGGAAAAGTTACTCCCATTGTGTTTCTTTTTTAAAGGGTGGAATTACTCATTCCTGTAACTCAGCCTGTTATATTTAAATACACCTCTGGCTACAGTCTTTTGTTTACCCCGGTGTCCTATTTTTAAGGATATGATACATTGTCTTTTGTGAAAATCAAACTAGAAGAACCTTACCTGGTGCTGAAACCTTGGTCAAACACCAAAGCCGAATATGATGACTCCAGCAGGTGAAGATTAATAAACAACTGTGAAGTTTAGCGTAGTAAAGGAAAATCTAGTGTAAAGTATTCCGCTTGTTTCTCTCTGTGTGACTGTCTCTGCTGTCTCGCCCTTTCCTCCAAAATCCTGCCAAACCAGATTCAGCAGCTGCTACGTCATCGCACGTACACACACATGGATACACAGACTCTCTCTTTCCTTTCTCATCAGCTTGCAGTAAAGAGAGACACTCCACCTCCATGTAACCTTACACCGTATTAACAGGAAAAGATACAGACACGTATGTTGACAGCCATCCTTGCCAACCAGCATGTCTGTGCATGTGTGTGTTTGTGTGTTGGTGAAGAAGAAAGAAAAGACAGGGAGAAATACCACACCCTCTGTTTTTACAGTATGCAATGAAATCACATGACAAACAGAATTATATTGAATTGAAATGCATTTACTGTTTTGATCAGTTTCAATGCCCTATTGATGCTGTTTACATGAGATAAAATAACTGCATAAAATAAGACTTAAAATAATGCTGTGAGATGTATTAAGTCACAACACAAAAGGCCATGCAAAAGGAGCACCAAGGAACATAAGACAAAATGAATAAAATATTTTTGCAAACAGAATAACATAAATTAGGACAAACACAAACAATTAGAAAGAAATAAGAACATTTTAGAAACAACAGATTATATATGTATGGATTTAAACATTTTCTAAAATGTTGACATTGCCATGATCCTGCCCCGCTGGCTTCCGGTTCGTTTTAACTTCACACTTTCATTATCTTGCCCTGGACACAGGAACGGCAAGGCAGATGCCCTGTCCAGACAACATGAGCTACAGGAGGAGGAACACCACAAACCTGCCTATATCCTACCCCCTTCTGCTCGCCTCGGGGCCATGCACCTCGGCATTGAACAGGGGGTAATAGCCGCCCAAGCGACGGAACCAGGTCCTTCCACTTGCCCCCCAGATCGGCTGTTTGTGCCTGCGACCCTGAGATCCAGAGTGCTCCAATGGTGCCATGCGTCCTGGTTCTCCTGCCACCCAGGCGTGGCCCGGACCTGCTACATTGTGCAATGACGCTTCTGGTGGCCCACAATGCGCAATGACGTCAGAGCCTTCCAGGACTGTGCCAAGAATAAGCCCTCATCGGGTCGGCCCTCCGGGCTCCTGCACCCACTTCCTATCCCCTCGAGACCTTGGAACCACATAGCCCTGGACTTTGTTACTGGCCTGTCCCCTTCCAGAGGTAACACCACTATACTCACTGTTGTCAATAGATTTTCCAAAATTCCTCTACCCAAGTTGCCCTCCACCAAAGAAACAGCACAAGTCCTCCTCCAGCACATCTTTCGCCTGCACGGCCTGCCCAGGGACGTTGTATCAGACCAGGAACCACAGTTCGTGGCATGCTTCTGGGCTGAGTTCTGTCAACTTCTGAACATCACAGTGAGTTTGTCATCAGGGTTTCACCCTCAGACCAATGGCCAAGCAGAGAGGTTCAATCAGCAGCTAGAGACTGGGTTGCGACTGCTGTGTAGCCAGGAGCCATCTCTGTGGGCGGACAATATTGTCTGGGTAGAGTACGCCCACAGTTCACTCCCCTCTTCTGCAACTGGTATACCACCATTTGAATGTAACTATGGTTATTGTCCCCCCTTGTTCCCTAGCCTGGACCCGGAGATCTGGGTACCCTCAGCATCAGCCCTAGTACGCCGCTTCCACCGGACCTGGAGGAGAGCCCGTCTGGTATTACTCCGGACAGTCAAGAACTACGCCAAGTGGGCCAACATACACCGCTCCAGGGCCCCCGAGTACAGACCAGGACAGAAGGTATGGCTCTCCACTCGAGACCTGCCCCTCTGGACTGAATGCCGAAAATTAGCTCCTCGCTTTGTGGGGCCCTTTCCTGTGTCCAAGTGGCTAGGCCCCGTGGCAGTTAGGCTCCAGCTGCCTTGCACACTCCGTGCTCACCCTTCTTTCCATGTGTCCAGAATCAAGCCCGTCCACTCCAGTCCATTGGGCCCATCCTCTGGGTCCACCACCTCCACCCCGCTTCTTCGATGGGGGTCCAGTCTACACGGTGCGTTGCCTCTTGAGGTCGCGCCACAGAGGCTGGGGTGTTCAGTACCTGGTGGACTGGGAGGGTATGGCCCGGAGGAACGATCTTGAGTCAGTAAATTCAGCTCATCATGCACATTGGTTTCACCTGCCACTAATCACCCACACCTGTTCACCACAGCACATAGCAGTTCCTCATACTGTGAGGAGCTGCCAGGTTGTTCTATGCCTTGTCTAGACTCTCCAGCATTTTTCCCTGACTGCTTTCCTGGTACCGGACCCTTGCCTGCTCTAACGACCTGTGATCCAGCCTGCTCCCTCTTGTCTGACTGCCAACCTGAGATCGACACCCTGCCTGTTCACCCAACCTGTGATTCTGCCTTGCCTTCCCTGCTGCCCTGCCGGGGACTTCGACCTTGGACTGTATTAAGTACCACTCTTCTGCCTGATCCCCCAAGACTGTGTGCTTTTCTGCTAAAATCACAAAGGACATTACAATCTGTTCGACTGCCTCAGCTGACTGGCTCTTTAATTGGGTTCACTCTATCTTCACGGGAGCGTCACTCACCTCCCTGACAGACATTCCAGCTGCCTGAAGAGGTCAAGTTCAAAACACAAAAGGCTTTACTGGAGGACACATTTAGCACAGTTAAATGTTTGTATGTTTTGTATTTTTGTGTGTTTTCCCCTGAATATAGGGGGAAAAAAGTTTTAAAAGCATCCCCAACGATCTCTCACCTGAGGGCTATTTCACAAAACCTAGGATTAAGCCAGGAATTTCCAGTTATACTGGATGGACTGAGCTGTGATTTGGTTTCACAAACATACTGGCACATAAATTACCATAGACATTTATTCTTTGCAGCTAGCCTGCTCCACACCAGGCTTACAGCCAGGCTTGATTAATCTTGGTGCCTTAACTGTTCTGTCAGCAGTCACTCTGATCAGAAACCAATAAATTCTTTGAGAGTTAATCAGTAAAATATACAGTGGGTACGGAAAGTATTCAGACCCCCTTAAATGTTTCACTCTTTGTTATATTGCAGCCATATGTTAAAATCATTTAAGTTCATTTTTTTCCTCATTAATGTACACACAGCACCCCATATTGACAGGAAAACACAGAATTTTTGACATTTTTGCAGATTTATTAAAAAAGAAAAACTGAAATATCACATGCTCATAAGTATTCAGACCCTTTGCTGTGACACTCATATATTTAACTTAGGTGCTGTTCATTTCTTCTGATCATCCCTGAGATGGTTCTACACCTTCATTTGAGTCCAGCTGTGTTTGATTATACTGATTGGACGTGATTAGGAAAGCCACACACCTGTCTATATAAGACCCTACAGCTCACAGTGCATGTCAGAGCAAATGAGAATCATGAGGTCAAAGGAACTGCCTGAAGAGCTCAGAGACAGAATTGTGGCAAGGCACAGATCTGGCAAAGGTTACAAAAA